AATGACAAACTGGTGCTGTATACACATGTCGGTTGTAAACTGCCGATTTTGACCGCTGGTGCTGGGGCGTGGAAGATCGAGTGAATGACATTGGCGATGCTGCTGTGTGGTGGCGGCTGGTGCAGCTCCTGAGCGAACGATGCGGCCTGCAAGGTGCAATCATTGAATCCGCGGGCAAAATCTGTCCGCGGCAAATTCGTCGTCTAGCCGGACGAAACACCCATAGTGTAAAACAGGCTGGTGAATAAAGCGAAATACGCGCAAAGATTCTGTAACACATTTTGCTCACGATGCCAAGTAAACGGCGCCGCCACGTCCAGGCCGCAGAACGATCACATCTTGGCTTGTTGCTCAGAAAGTGCCGATAGACGCGGCAGGGTGAAAAATGCATGGCGACACCAATCGTTGGCGTCTCAGGCCATTTTGTGACCAACGAGGTACTTGCCCGACATTGCCCCGTCCGCACCGATGGCGTGGCAGCTCAGTTTGGCGTAGCGTGGCAATGGTCAGCTGCCTCGCCCATAATCGCAGCTTATGAGCTCCGCATCCGCCCTGTTTCCTTATTCGCCGTTCCATGCTCATGCCCCGTCTCATGGGGGCGTGCTGCGGTCGGCAGGCATGAGTCGGCTGCACGGCCGTCCTGGCAGGCTCCCCCCCCCACCCGCCCGAGCGTCCGTACCAAATTCAGGGAAGGGCCCAGTGCCGGGTACGGCCCGTTAACGGAAGCCAATCACAATGCCAGCTGTCTTGTCCCATTAACTACCGGCTTAGGGTGTCGATAGTGTAGTGGTTAAATGTTTACGCGTCTGCGTTAACCGCTGCGCGCTTGGGAAACCAGAGGTACTTGGTTCGATTCCCCGCGGTGTCCGTCCTTCCTTTCAGGGTGAAAGGCGGGCGACACCGTATAGCCCCAGCCGCTGAGTGCATCGTAAACCTCCAATGACGACAGCTATTGGCCTCACTCCGCCGTCTCACAGTCCTGAAACATGCATCGCTGGTCGGAAGAGGAGCTCCGACTCAAACGAAGCCCAAACACGCGAGTCCTTCCTCGGCATCTGGCTCACACGAGGTCGCGGGGCGGCGGGACGGGCCGGACCTGTTTACACCGCGCGGGCCACGGACTGTCAGGGCCCCGCCGATGCGGCGACGGCACCACCACTTGTCTCGCGCATAAACAGACCCCGGCCGAGCTGTGGCATCGCAGCTGGGAAACGGGGCTTCTCCGCTGGCGGCGGCATGTGGAAGAGCGGGGAAACTGCGGCTCATATACGTTCTTCATTGAATGAAAGACTTGTATGACCTGAAGTGGAGCGCGCCCACGTGAAAGGCAACCGAATTGATGATGTGACTTCGTAGGTTGGGCACACTCACGGCTACCCGTATCCAGTGGGTATCGAGCTGAGTTGGGTATAGATGTTGGAAAATTACGTCATGCGTAAGGCATTTGCGGAACGTCGGGTGAATATCTTAATAAATGCTTCACGTTGAGACCATTTCCATTTATTTTAGTCACAACTGGCTCCACTCACACTTCTTCAGTAATGATCGATGCACAAGAGTAAGATTGCGCATAAACATTTCGAAAACTTTCATAATTCAGAGCTTATACACTTGAAAAAAAAGCAGACGGACGGCTCACGGGTGAGTACAACTGATTAGGGATTGGTAGAGGGTGGGTATAAGCACAACCCCACGGGCAGCGAGTGGACTGGGTACAGAAAATGTCACCCTTAAATGCTCTCAATTGTTCAATCCCGCAGCAGATGCTGTCCATCCTTGAGTATGATTTTATTCCCTGACATAATTCCAAGTTTCAAGCCCACAGTGTGTGGCAGCTCCTCCGACTCTCACCAAACACTCATGGGAGTCAGACCCAGGCTGTCACGTCGTTGTTGACATTTGAAGTTACGATCAGAGCAGACAGGTCTCCTTGCGGCAGCCTGGCGATAGGACAAGCCGGGTTCCCCGGTGGCATTTGTGCGTGACAGACGGCAATGAACCCCGAGCGCACGGTTCTATGGAAAAACAGGCTGCGGGCCGATGTCCGCGCAGTAAGCGACGCGTTCTGATTCCGATTCATATTCAAGTTAAGCAAAAGGACAGTAACGTATAATTCCGTCGACAATGCATCCAATATATCTTCAATAATAGTTATATTTCATTTCAGTTTAAAAATGGATAGCAACAGTCGCCATGCCACCAGGGACGTGCATTTCTAACAGTCTCGGTCCCGACGGCCACCGTTAAACACGCGCCCGGGTGGCCGGCTAGATGCCCCTCGCTCAGGTGGGGGTGGGAGGGGGTCAGTTTGACCCCCCTGAAATCTCGGGAACTAAGAAAGCTAGCGACACCAAATGTACAGGGTATCTTGAACTGTACGTGAACTCACTCAGGTCGAAGTTTGAGCTTCCTAGGTCATGACCTTCAGGTCACAGGGTCAAACAAGGCCAAATTCCATGTTGGTCTCCAAAGTGCCCCTAGAACCTAGGTTACTGTTTCTAAGCAAAAAGTCACAAGCCCATTTGAGGTCAGTGACCTTGTTTGACTTTTTGAAGGTTATGGTGACCAAAATAATACAAGACTGCTCTGAGTTTTGCATTTGTATAAGCGACAAAGATTACGCTAGGCAGTATGCTCCTCCAAAAAATGCCGACCCGGGTCATCTTAGGTCAATGATCTGCTCTGACCTCTAAGAGGTCAGTGGAAGGTGTATAATGCGGCTCCTGCTATCATTAAATTCGAAATGAGCGCGTGAAACTGTCCCATGCAGCAAGCCCTACAGTAATAAATCAGGTTCGTTTTGACCTTGGTGTGACGTTCATACCTGACCCTAGGTCAACGTTATCTGCTCATTCAATATTTGTTGTACCTAAGAAAGCATCTCAGAGATGTATGTCTTCGTCAAACACTCCGTTGTTGTATCAGATTGAACGATTCCCTAGAAATTGCCTTCGCTGAAACCATGGCCTGACTGACCTGCCATAGGTCAGCGACCTTGCAAGGTATATCAAAATTGGTGATGTCAAACAATCCGTTATTCAGTTGCCTACAGCCATGTAAAATTTGGCGAGGTACCACCGCGCCGTTCGGAAACCATTCTGGAAAAACCTTCTGGGTGGGGGTCAATTTGGGCCCCCACCCGAGCGCGTGTTAACGTCCAGGCATTTATGGGTCAAACGTGCGGTCACAAATAACTGCTTATAATGCACCGATTCTAAATTGGGAAATATATACGTGATAGATGTGACGTCAGGTATACAGACCTAAATGCCCTGCTCGAAATTCGTCTGACTAGTCTGCGGTCATTTTAGGGTTAAATGCAAGGTCCCACCTCATTCCTTCAATAATACACCGATTTTATCTACAAAAAACAAACAAAAACAAAGACATGGCAACCCTGACGTCACGATCCGACGTCACGACGCCGTGCCATCACAGTGTGATGGCATGCGTCACGACACATGACGCACATTTAACAGCATAGTCTCCAAAGGTTACCTTATTTCCTCAAGACACCTCGAGGTCGAATACGTGACCACCGACGACTCCATAAAGAATACACCGATTACAAATATGAATAAGACGGCGTGGTCAACGTAGCGTAAGGAATGCGTGACTTTAACAACCTGGCTTCCCATTGTCACGGTTTTGTTTCCATGCCTTGAGCAGTCAGACCCGCGGCCACAAAAGACTCAGTCGATAACGCATCGATTCAAGACCTTCAAAGGGTCACGTGTTAGTCCTAACATCAGGAACATAAGCTGCCAGCAGTTTGACCTACCATGACCGTCGTATTACATCCAGGGATTTCGGGGCCAAATACGCGGGCGGACACAGTTAAGCTGTCAACAATGCGCGGATCACGCGAGAGCCACTTACGCTAGCGGTTTTCGGTGGTATGCACCACCGTATTCTGCGTTGCATGCCTGGGGTCATTCGACAGTTCGGTCTTCTTCAGCTTGATGACTAATACAGTGAGTCCAGTGTTCATCTGTCATCTTTGAGGATCAGGGCGCTGAAAGCGCACACGTTTTGCACCACGGTAGCCACGAACCTGTTTTCAATGCTAAGTCCACACGATATTACGTTACGTGTACGCACGTATGAATGTACGCATAGAGTCATCATACATTTTTTACGCATGGATGGGAAAGAGATGTTTGATGGACGTACTGGAAGCGTAACAAAGGAGGGAGGGTAAATTCAGGACAGTGGAACACTACGGCCAGGTGTGGAAGCAGATCATGCCAAAATATTTCAACTCAAATTAAAACCTTGGCGCAAGGTGCCACTGGGTTCCTCCCATGACAAGGGACAAGTCCATTGTTCGTTGCACATCTTCATCCCAGAAGCCAAACGGACGGAACATTTTGGGACGGTACGTTCACACGGCGTGACCAGTGGAGGGAAGGTCTCACCCAACATAATCATTCCGTGAGCAGGGAAGGGATGGCTGAAAATGGCCAAATATGCGCAACTCTCGTGGCCGTGCATTTGCTTTATTTACACATGAATTCGGTTACCGATACGTGCACATTGCGGGGAGACCGAGGGTACCCATCCATGAACCTGTGGCATCGGTCAGTGGTTACCAAAGCGCTTGATGACTGCCGCGACGCCAGTGGTTCCCAAACTCACGCCATTATGAATCCGGACAGTCTTTCCAACCAGCCCTTTCCCGCGGGTACGACATTGCTAAGCTGGACGTAAGAGGCATCTGCAACATTTGTGGCTCAAGCGGTTCCCGACCATGACCGATTTTGAGCTGGGTGTCCAGCGAAACGTATCGCAGTTCGACGCAGACGAGTGCCGAACGGACTTGCCCATGACGGCCGCGCAGCGTCGCCGCTGGGCGGCGGTGGCGCCGGCGCCGGCGCAGCTGCCGCCGCTGCCTGACAGCCGCGGACCGCAGGGGGCGGGGCCGGCCGGCTGCCGACCGACTGGGGTGTCTGCCGCCGGCGGCGGCGGAGGCGCTGTGTCCGGCCCAGTGGCGGCGCGGCGGCGGCGGGCGGTGGGCGGTGGAGGCGCGGCCCACGCAGCGACGCCATGGGCTGGCTGCCGGCGGTGCTGTTCACGGCTGAACTGTACCACTGTGTGGTGCACGTGCTGGTGCTGATCGGCTGGCGCCTGCTGCCCCGCAAGGACCTGGTCCGCACCAGGTAAATGGGACCATTGTGAGATCGAGGCCGGCTCGCCTCCAGCCCGGCCTAATAGATTCGGCCGCGTGCCATGGATCTATAGCGCCCGGCCGGCACGGGTTCCGCGGCTCTGTGGACGTCGGTTGGTGTGTTGGGCCAGGGCATTGGTAGGGGTCCTGCGTGGCTCTGTGGACGTCGGTTGGTGTGTAGGGGCAGGGAATTGGTAGAGGTCCTGCGCGGCTCTGCGGGCTTTGGTTAATGGGTTGGGGCGGGCTGCGCGGCTCCGTGGGCTTTGACGGTGTTTTCGGGCGGGTGTTGGTGGAGGCTCTGCCCGGCTTTGTCACTGACAGGAAACTACCATTTAATTGGTAACAGGGTGGTGATCGATTTGCCCAACCATATTACCGCGTGTTAACGACACACCCACCACCTTTCTGCTACTCCTACCACACCAATACCACGCTCGCACGACCACTTGGCGGTTTCACAAACTAACTCTGTACCACCCTCTTAGTTTTACCTACCAGAGGTAAACCTCCTCTGTACCACCCACGTACCACTCCCTCAGCAGGGTGTGCCAATCTGTCACCATCACCGTATCACTACCTTTCGTCCAGGGTAGTTAATCCATCAGTCTTAAATTTTAAATGAATGAGCAAAGATCAGTCTGTAGTATTCTTTGTATCACGCGAAAAGAGCATCTAAACGAAAGCTTGCGTACGCCAAATCAGCGAGGAAATCAGGCAGACGCGACTGTCCGTAACATTCAGGTGAACAGCTTGACCAGAACACGGTCAGACAATTACAGTGTCATCAATGTTTAAAGACACAGCGGTTCTTCAACGGCTCCTCACCACACGGTATCGAACGATAACCGAGGCTCAACAGGCGGTAAGCGCCACCAGACGTTACTCCTTTTTCGACATCTTCAGTGCGGTTGGGTTCGGGACAGTTCTGTCGCGATAAAACTACCACGCCGTCAGGGAACCACGCTCCCCATGAGTCAGCGCTGTGGACCAAACGTGCCCCAGAGACACCGTATACAAACAACGCGGTCGTATTCAGTCACAGTCTGCTGTCATCGTAACGCGCCCACCGGCGGCCGCCTTCGGATTCAAGACGCGCAGAGTGCTCCGAATCGACCGCTTTCATACACTTCAATGTCAAGCAAGACCTTAAGCGTCGGACGGGCCTGCACTGTGATGACATGTTCCAAAACAAATCAGATCGGCTTCTTCAGGTGTGCGCCCTTAGCTTTTCGGCCAAACACATACACTGGCACTGTCGGCGTCAGGATAACCTCCGCGAGGGTTGTCACTGTAGCGCCAGTCGTTCCCTCCACAATGGCCCCGCTTTGTCTCCCACTTTTGGCGCCTCACTGCAGCCGTCGATGTCCTCCGCTTGAAGTAGCGTCTCGGTAGCTCCTTCTGGGATAATTAATGACACTAGAAAATGCAGACAAACATCTTTACAAATTGTCGCACTGGCACTGCTCATGCGGGAAAAAAATTACTTCGGAGCCGGACACTTTTTTACCTTAGAATCAACCTGTTCGACTTCAAGACTTTTCAACTGTGCGTGTGGTCTCAGAAAATTGTTTGCTAAAGCGCGGTGGGTGTCGGAATCTCTGCAAAACAAGCGAAAGAAGGAATGTTGTTAAAATCTCTTTTCTCTCTTCTTCCTTCTTTTTCCGCGATGAGACGATTATTTAAAAATGTTATAAACATATAACAACATATATACACCCTCCGCAGCTTAACAGGAAAATACACCCCTGCACGCATAAACGGGCACAGATGCAGATGTTGGCTGTTGGTATTAAGTATGTACACATTTCAGAGAACCTTGACTTTACTTTCATGAAAACTTTCATATGCTGCGGGCGGTGGTGAGAACGCTCAGAATACCGTAATAACTTCTGCGGTTGGTCTGCTTAAAACCGTCGTTGGGCTCGTGTCGCCGGTTTGCGGGTGGACCGCCGCCACCCGTCCACCACCTGCAGTGGCGGCAGCATAACGGCAGAAGCACACTTTTGCCGCGGGCAGTAACGGTCCCCTTGGAGACGTAACGGTCCCCACGGCGCATCATACATACAGCGCCAGGCTCCGTTCACAGGTGGCAGGTGGCCAGCATCGCTTCGCGAGCCGGCACAACAACCGGATTTATTGATGCGATGTTTGACCATGCTCTATTTCCGGTCACGGTTGGACATCTGAATATTGCGAAGATGATCTGCCTTGGCTGCTGGTTTGCCCTAGCCGTACAGACATCGGTTGACATCATGAACGAGACGAGACCAGCGACGTAGCCGGCTGAACCTTACCCCCGAGACGAACTTTGCCCTTTTACTGCGCTTCAGACGCAAGGTCTGGTTACTGGTTCGCATTCCAAAGCCGCATTGGACGTCCGGATGTTGACAGCAGTATTGCCGCTGAAGCCCTGGCCGCGGTCGGAACGTGAGCATGAGACTGAGCAAGCGTGGGCCCGCGCACGCACATCCACAAGCACACGTATTCCACCCACGGAGAATGTACAGACGCCGACCGCACGGAATCTGTTCGCTGACCCCGACAGAGGTCATGGCCGCTGACGCATGACGTCAGGCTACGGCGCTGATCTAGCCACATTGGCTCTACTTCGTGCTTCGCGCTGCCAGAGCCGCCAGCCCCGGCGGCCTCGCGGTGAGGTCATCGCCCTGTCTCGCGGCTCCCACAGCTGAATTGTAAACAGCGTAACACAGATTTGTTTCCGTGATGATTACCGTTGTTACATGTTATGTGTTTGTTACGTTGACGATTCACATGGCTGCACCTGATAACGGCGACATGTCTGTGGCGGCAGGGTATACTTCCTGGTGGATGCGTTCACCGTGGCGCTGATCTCCTACTGGGTAGTCCCGCATCTCTGGTGGCTGGGTGCCATACAGAACGTGCAGCACTTCAGCTACTTCTTCTGCTGGGAGAAGACGTGGTTCGCCAAGCGCGTGGTGTCATGGAGCAGCCTGGACTGGGACAGAAGTCGCTGGCAGCCTGATCTATTGCTCGGTCAGTGACGTCACGTCGACGTCATGTGATGTGTGATGACGCTCACCTGGCTTTGCTCTGAAGGCTATGCTTTTAGCGATGTGTTCGATGATTTCCCCCAAATCACTGTGCGATGGCCGCTTTATGACACGGAGGCTCATCATTCTACTAATTAAGTAACTCACACTGGAAGCTTGCGATTGCTGCGTGATCCGCTGTGACACTGATGGCGGACAGTGCCAGCTGTTCCATGCGATTGCCGCTTGATCCGCTGTGACACTGATGACGGACAGTGCCTAACTGTTCCATGCGATTGCCGCGTGATCCGCTGTGACACTGATGGCGGGCAGTCCCAGCTATTCCATGCGATGCCGTGAGAGCCGCTGTGACACTGATGGCGGACAGTGCCAGCTGTTCCATGCGATTGCCGCTTGATCCGCTGTGACACTGATGGCGGACAGTGCCAACTGTTCCATGCGATTGCCGCGTGATCCACTGTGACACTGATGGCGGACAGTGCCAACTGTTCCATGCGATTGCCGCGTGATCCGCTGTGACACTGATGGCGGGCAGTCCCAGCTATTCCATGCGATGCCGTGAGAGCCGCTGTGACACTGATGGCGGACAGTGCCAGCTGTTCCATGCGATTGCCGCTTGATCCGCTGTGACACTGTCGATAGTAGCGGTGGAGGGGCGTTCGGAGAGAGCGTGAGCGGCCCAGGGCCGGTGTGATAACCCGTGGGACATGCCTCTGCTGTTGCAGGTACCCTGTTTGACGTCAGCGTCCACGCGGTCAACGCGTGCTACCTGGGCATTCAGCTCTCTGGTCAGGGAGTGCTGGCGGCTTGCCTCATCAGCGCCCTCCTCGTTTATGTCGTGCTCTACAACCCCCGCCTGGCCTGGAACAGTAAGGTGAGAGTCCCAACAGATGGATATGAAATATCTCATTTGTAATCTTCTCATGTCTGCAACGTACCAATGTGTGATCAAACCTGTTGGGTAGAAGCGCACACAGGAACAAAAGAAAACACGGGAACACGTTCATCAATGAAAGGCCAATGTATCCGAGCACTCATGTCACGGCGGTAACACCTTGCTCTTGCCTGATTAAACTCACGAGCATCGTTACGGATCACGTGTTCTCGCGATACAGCCATGGTGTTGTTGGCAATGATCACGTGGTCGCCACCGGCGTCTGATGTGAACTCTAAAAAGAGACGCTCTCTTGCTGAACAATTGTAGACAGTGTCCCCAACTTAGGAGTACAAGCTCATCAAAGCAAATTTATGCTTTGAATATGAGCGCTGACATATTCGATATTTACCACCGAATCATTGGTGATGCAGTGAGGCATGTTTGAAGGAAAGCTCAAAGCACACCATACGCTGCTGACCGCATCTGAGATCCGAATGGCAGCAGCCGCGATTACAGCCCCATTTGAAACAAATCTGCACTGAGGTCCGTAAATATCTTACAGCTGAAGTCTTTTAACGCACCACAAGTAATGTAATGCTGCTATCCTGAGACAATGAAGTCAGTCATATCGTGTATTGAAATGCGGGTCCTGTTGCCGAATGAAAAATCTAGCAATTGACGGAGTGAACAGAATAAACAATAATTGTTAACAGTGTTTGACCAGCCATGTTACCATGGCTGGTCAAAGTAATTTTTAGAAAGAATGAAGGCGACGCGCGACTGCAGTGACACATTAGCGCTCAGGGGCCATGGCGCAACCGGGATTCGAACCCGGGACCTTGGACATCGGCAGGAATCCGTATCGCCGTCCCCCAGTCGTGATGTTGACAATCTGGTGATGCCCGAACGCACGACCCGGCGCCGGGGTGACCGGCACCGGGTACACCACGGCACAACGCCGAGGCGACAGCGGCCCCGCCTTCCCCGTCGCTTGGACACAATGTCACACCAATAGCAGTGATTGTTGCTCCCCGGTCACGGAGTCGCAACATAAGAAGCTGCCAAGCGGCGGCCTGCGGTCGAGCCAACACCAGCTGACTGGAGGTGGTAGTGTCGCGGTTCTGCGCGCCACATCTCGATCATGGGCGACACGTGATGATCTGTGGGTACTGGACCTCCAGGGGTGCGAGGGGTGGCCCCGTATTTCCCTTATCGGGGAAAGATGCTGGACTGTGGCTTTTGATACCATGCCTTGTCTGCTCGGAGCGCACAATGCCAGATCGGGCAGAACGATCCCGCGCTCCCCAGGAGTCGATGTCATAGTCTGTGAGACGTCTCTGTGGCATCCGGCCTCAGTCACGTTGTTAGAGTGTCGAGAGCGACCCGACATCCTCCGTTCTCTTGGCGCGAGGCTGGGATGCGGGCAAGATACCTCAAGTAGGCAGCATAGGTGCTCCCCGTCCCAGGACACGTTGCCAGGGTGTAGATAGCGGTGCTAGATTGTTTGTCTCGAGAGCCATGGGTGTAGCTGTGCTTGAAGTATTACTGTAGTCCATCCGTGCTTTGGTGCCGTGTTTTAGGTTAAAACACAACAAAATATTTAAATCTGCCAAAGATCAGTTGGGGCCTGACTACATCAAACGCAATGGCAGACAAACCCGTGCCCAGGCTACGATGCTGCATGTGTGGTGCCCGCCCTTCCTGCCAGGGTGAGAGGCAAACACCATATAGCCCCAGCCACCGAATGCGTCGTAAGGCTCCAATCACACACATTACTGGCATGTACGTAATGATCTCGTGTTATGCGCCGTCAGAACAAGATACCGGAACGGTAACAATGATCCCGTAGAACCCGTCCTCGGGGTACGGTGCGCTCCGTCCCGCGTAACCCGTCCTCGGGGTACGGTGCGTTCCGTCCCGCGTAACCCGTCCTCGGGGTACGGTGCGCTCCGTCCCGCGTAACCCGTCCTCGGGGTACAATGCGCTCCGTCCCGCGTAACCCGTCCTCGGGGTACGGTGTGCTCCGTCCCGCGTAACCCGTCCTCGGGGTACGGTGCGCTCCGTCCCGCGTAACCCGTCCTCGGGGTACCGGTGTGCTCCGTCCCGCGTACCCGTCCTCGGGGTACGGTGTGCTCCGTCCCGCGTAACCCGTCCTCGGGGTACGGTGCGCTCCGTCCCGCGTAAACCCGTCCTCGGGGTACGGTGTGCTCCGTCCCGCGTAACCCGTCCTCGGGGTACGGTGCGCTCCGTCCCGCTTAACCCGTCCTCGGGGTACCATGTGCTCCGTCCCGCGTAACCCGTCCTCGGGGTACGGTGCGCTCCGTCCCGCGTAACCCGTCCTCTGGGTACGGTGTGCTCCGTCCGCGTAACCGTCCTCGGGGTACGGTGTGCTCCGTCCCGCGTAACCCGTCCTCGGGGTACGGTGCGCTCCGTCCCGCGTAACCCGTCCTCGGGGTACGGTGTGCTCCGTCCCGCTAACCCGTCTCGGGGTACCGTGTGCTCCGTCCCGCGTAACCCGTCCTCGGGGTACGGTGTGCTCCGTCCCGCGTAACCCGTCCTCGGGGTACGGTGCGCTCCGTCCCGCGTAATCCGTCCTCGGGGTACGGTGCGCTCCGTCCCGCGTAACCCGTCCTCGGGGTACGGTGTGCTCCGTCCCGCGTAACCCGTCCTCGGGGTACGGTGTGCTCCGTCCCGCGTAACCCGTCCTCGGGGTACGGTGCGCTCCGTCCCGCGTAACCCGTCCTCGGGGTACGGTGTGCTCCGTCCCGCGTAACCCGTCCTCGGGGTACCGTGTGCTCCGTCCCGCGTAACCTGTCCTCGGGGTACGGTGTGCTCCGTCCCGCGTAACCCGTCCTCGGGGTACGGTGTGCTCCGTCCCGCGTAACCCGTCCTCGGGGTACGGTGTGCTCCGTCCCGCGTAACCCGTCCTCGGGGTAAGGTGTGCTCCGTCCCGCGTAACCTGTCCTCGCTGGAGCCTGCGCAACCTGTCCTCGGAGCACAGAGCGCTGGGTCCGGCATAACCCGTTGGTCCCCACGACACAAAGTCATAGTGCACATCGTGATCCTGTTTTCCCCGTTCTCAGGGCTCGATGCTGGAGTGTAGACGGTGATTCCGTATCTCACTGTCCCCAGGACTCGATGCCGGAGTGTAGACAGTGATTCCGTATCTCGCTGTCCCCAGGACTCGATGCCGGAGTGTAGACAGTGATTCCGTATCTCGCTGTCCCCAGGACTCGATGCCGGAGTGTAGACAGTGATTCCGTATCTCGGCTGTCCCCAGGACTCGATGCCGGAGTGTAGACAGTGATTCCGTATCCCGCTGTCCCCAGGACTCGATGCCGGAGTGTAGACAGTGATTCCGTATCTCGCTGTCCTCAGTACTCGATGCCGGAGTGCAGACAGTGATTCCGTGTCTCGCTGCCCCCAGGACACGATGCCGGAGTGTAAACAGTGATTCCGTATCTGGCTGTCCCCAGGACTCGATGCTGGAGTGTAGACAGTGATTCCGTATCTGGCTGTCCCCAGGACTCGATGCTGGAGTGTAGACAGTGATTCCGTATCTCGCTGTCCCCAGGACTCGATGCTGGAGTGTAAACAGTGATTCCGTATCTGGCTGTCCCCAGGACTCGGTGCTGGAGTGTAGACAGTGATTCCGTATCTCGCTGTCGCCAGGACTCGATGCCGGGGTGTAGACAGTGATTCCGTATCTCGCTGTCGCCAGGACTCGATGCCGGGGTGTAGACAGTGATTCCGTATCTCGCTGTCCCCAGGACTCGATGCCGGGGTGTAGACAGTGATTTCTTGTCTCGCTGTCCCCAGGACTCGATGCCGGAGTGTAGACAGTGATTCTGTATCTCGCTGTCCCCAGGACTCGATGCCGGAGTGGGTGCGGCGCCGCCTCCGGCCCGTGTCGCGCGAGCAGGCCGGCGAGGACCACCGTCTGGTGGCCGCCATGGGCTGGGCCAAGTGAGGCTTCGCCGCCAAACCTCGACCGGGCCGCCGCCAAACCAAACTGCAATGCAATCGACGCCAAGACCGCACAATGCAATATGTGACCTGCCCGACACGCGAGCCGCGCGTCCGACCAGGGCCGGCCATCTGCTGGTCGACTCGCTCCAGGGGCGGGCTAGCGTTAGTATTTGGTGGGCCTATTTCAGTGCGAGCCACTGTCGGAGCGCTGTAACGCTTCATTCATCACCGGGTTTCGAACCGGTTTCATGGCACTTCAGTGATCGTTCCCCTCCCCTTCTTGGATGGTCATGATCTCGCACCCCCCCCCCCCCCCCCCCACCTCAGCCTGGACACGGCTATGGCCGCGGTCGTGTCGACGCTAATCTATGTCATTTCCCGTGCGGAATCGCTCCTGTCCTGTCATGGCTGGCGCCGCGGCCTGAAAGCGGTCAGACGTCACAGCTGACGTCATGGACCCGGGAATATCACACCAGCGTCATTACACTGCTGACCGCGAAGCTTCACCTGCGGCCTGTGAGCATGCTTGTGTGCGAAGAAACATGCCTAAGCTCACACGCGCTGGTCTAGAATCCTAACCACTATAACCGTTTGTCTATGTCGTTTATGGTATTAAGTGGGCTTTGCGCATGCTGCACGTCTCGCTGCGGGCGGTGACGTCGGGGCTAATGATACTATGACATTATTTCACAGGTGTGGGACACATACAGCTATGCCTGTTATGACGCTAACAAGGTCAATAAAACGTTTTATCTGTATTACCCGAGATGGAAGTCGCTCCGAAAAAGAAGAAAACTGACGAATGACGTCGTGCTCGTATGGCCGTGTGCAAGGGGCGGGGGCGGAAGGGAAGAGGGGGAGAAGGAGAACCCGACTTTGTTAAAACCTGACATTCGTCTTCCAGTTGTGGATAGAAAATTAGTTTGGCCCTGTTGTCTTCCAATGCAAAATCATGGTTCACTAAATGATTCAAAACCATCCTTTTACAGTTATTCACTACCATCCTGTCATAAAGTCAATCTGCCTGTCGTCATACTTGCGTATTCCCAGCCGCCGGCAGCCCAGCTCGACGACGAACTCAACGACGGACTCGACGACGACGGACGTGCAAGATGAGTTACGTTCCGTCGTTTAAGCGTACGAGTCTCGCTTGCGTAGTGGAGGACCCGCGATACATTCACCACGTTACGGTACGGGCGCCTTTGCAGGGCACTCGGACATGGGCACGCTCTGGCAAGACAGGCTGGTGAAGATTTCGAGCCGGTATATATCCTGCAGTGGCGTCCCGAACACGCGGCACGCCTACACATGCGTCCAGCTGTCCACGAGGGGCATGAATAACTCGACCCCGCCCGTCCGCTAGACCAGCCCGAAACCGCCTACGTGCCGCCTCCAGCCGGCATCAGTGCACAGTCCCCGTCATTCTGGACAGAGGACGGCCGGACTGCTCCCCCCCCCCCCCCGAACCATTGTCGCGTACACGCAGTGTTTGCCTCCTGTACACTGAGATCTCAATGATATGTCAGCGGTGGGCAGATTGGTCGCGTGGTGCTGGACACAAACGCGTGAGCATCAGAACGGAACAGACGACTGACAGGCCAAGTTAAGCATCCGAGCGGACGCAGAGAGAGGGAGGGGGAGAGCGGCCAGACTGCTGAGGTGTGAATGCTCCAGCGAACGTCCCCATCTCCCTCCCCTCCGCCATGATGAAATCGCCCATATTCCGGCCCGCTTGGAGGCCGGCCAGACCAGTTCTGGCAGGGGTTCAGGGGCTCAGATTATTGTAATCTGCTGTCTCGGAAGGTTCTTTTCCAAGGCCTGCATCCTGTCTCAGTAAGCTCGCGAACATTGCAACTGTTTCGGACGGCAAAGAACGCACATGGGGGCTCATCTGGAACAAACATGAAACTGGTCCAAGTCTGCCAACACGGGGAATCTGCTTACTCCAGTACTCGTGCTTCCAAAAAAGCGTCCAGAAACTTTCGAAGATTCTGCGCGATCGTCGGTTCATGACACGAAAAATATGGTCGAACTATATTGGAATATAATACAAAACTGAATAACTTTAACGCTTTGCGTGCTGGGAAAAAGATAAAGATTACCACTTCCCGAACACGGCAAACATCTCCACTGATCACAGCTGGGTGCTATCACACAGCCCAGATCCAACACAACCTAACTGAAACCAAACAAAATGCACCGTCCGCAGGAACGCACCAAACGAAACGAACACCGTATAAAATACACGTACACCAGGCCGGTCACGATGTGACAAACACGTTCACGCGATATATGAAGTGCTTGATGATGGGCAAACTTTCGATATTTCGCAAGCACATCAATAATTGACTTATAAAAATAGATTGTGACGACAGATGACAGTGAGCTTACATCACAGTCTTGCGCGCGGCCGTTCTCCTGACAGGAAGTCACGCAGGCCAGATATCCAGGTGACGTCTGACATGATAATTACCCTGAAACCATTCTAAAAATAATCTAATTTCCTTGGCGACACTATCTGTGGCGGCCCGAACAAAGCTATCTACGCCGAGCGACTGTGCGGACGCCACGCACCGGAACGGGCCGTCCGGACCCACCGACAGCTGGAAGGCCGACAGCAGTGTGGCGACACCGACGCCTCAGTCCGAGCGCACGGCATCGCTCCACCGATGCGAGTTTATGGGATAAAAAGGCGACAGCGTCCGCAACCTCCAGCGGACGCGGGCATGCTTGCCCGCGTCCCTGCTCGTCCTCACGCGTCCTCACCCTGCTTGCTGTCCTGGTCGTCCTCATCGACGTGTCCCGGTCGGCGGAGGCCACCGGCATCTCGGCCAGCAGCTCGCTCACGGCGGCCGGCACCACCGGCTTCACCACGGCCACACAGGCGGGCGGCGCGCGCGATGCTGAGAGGCGCCGACTGCGGGACGACGGGCGCTGGTGTGACGGCAGACATGGGGCAGTGGTGACGCAGACCGTACACGACCCTCGCGCGTACCAGACCATACGCAGCCGTGGTGACAACAAACCACTAGGAGACGGTGATAGCACCAGACCGCAACAGGACAGCGCCGACATCAAGCCACGTGGAGAGGCGGGGCGAACACGTCAGACGGGGCAGCGGCGACACCATACTGAACAGCACAGTGGTGACGGGAGATCGCGCGGGGCAGAAATGACACCGGTCCACATGGGCAGTGTCGACAACCGAGACCACGCGGGGGAAACGGCGCCAGCAGGCTGCAATCGGGTGGTGGTGACTACCGACGAAGAGAAGTCAGTAACGATGGGGCAGTGACACCAGAGCGCGCGAGGCGTGATGACAACAGATCACGTGGGGTGATGACGACCCTCTCCGAACTTTGTCGTTGGCCTCTTACAGATTGAAAGTGAAAACCCGTGAAAATCTTTGCTTCGGGTGAAAATGGAGCACTTTTGTTCGCTTTCACCTGATTCGGCCCCCTTCGTCCCTCCCCCACTGATTTTCTCAAATACAGCCCTGCGAAAGACGACCATTCCATCTGCTGATGATGATGCAATGTACACTAGTCTCCCAGACCTGTTCAAGACACATCCGTCTCACCTTTTTCCACTCGTTCGTCTGCGGGTCGTAGCACTCGACCAATCGAAGGTACTGCTGACCGTCGGAACCTCCCACGGCAAACAGCCATTGGCCAAGAGCGCAGGCAGCCACCCCGTCCCGACCAATGACCATCGAGGCTATCTCCGTCCATTGGTCCGTGTTTGGATCGTATCTGAGGGGGACGAACATCAGGAGACGGAACGGGACGCATACGGTTGGAAGCAAAACATACAGACAGCACTAAGCTGGCGGCTACATAAGATGGATAAATGGCATTTAAAGATAACCAGCTAGTATGTACAAGTGATTCCAGTGCGTTGCTGCATTTAATAAGGCTCACTGAGGGCAATTTCTGTCCAATGCCACCACTGCAACCGCAGCAAGAAGCATAAAACGCGGCGAATCCTCGCCCCACGGAGTGCCACACACACGTCCAAGGGCTCGACGCAGACCGCCGCCCAGTGGCGCACCAAGAACCGAGCACCGAGCACCGAGCACCGAGCACCGAGCACCGAGTACCGAGTACCGAGCAGCGGCGGCGGCGGCAGGCGCACCTCTCGACGCAGCTGAACTTGAGGCTGTTGGGACTGGTGGCCGGCGCGTCGCTGCCACCCAGCGCGTACAGACAGCCGTTGACGACGCCGACGCCGACGCCGCCGCGGCGCTGCAGCATGGGCGCCGCCGCCGACCAGCGGTTGGTGTGCGGGTCGAACGACTCGCACGAGCGCAGGCACGAGGAGCCGTCGCGGCCGCCGACCGCGTACAGCCTGCTCGACAGCGGCGGAGTCAGCGCGGGGCGGAGCGGTCTGCGCACGGACAGCGTCCACACGGACCTGGGCCCGGTCCTATCTCCAGTCAGACATCGGTGGTGTTGTGTTCAGCTGTTGTACTTAGCCGCCGCCCACGATCAGGTGGCCAGTAGTATTCCCAGCGCAGTCCCAGCCTCACACCGTTCAAAAATGTCGCTCTATTTCACACCTCATCCCTCACTAATATAACTCCATATCATCCCCTCCCACGCTTGATTCAGATCCAGTGCGACACCAACAGCCGAACGTTAACATACATAGTCGGAAATAGAAATGCAAACCGCGGCATTCGGGGCCACGAAAGGTGGAGACAAACGAGA